ACTAATACGAAATTATTAATACAGAAGTACATGTATAAGTTAGTCGTTGAACTTTTATTCATTTTCGAAAGGCTTTTATGATCATAATCCGAGAACATATTTTTCTGTGACACTCATTGTGTTCTATAAGAGTGAGTTCTTCGAGAGAACTGAATAAAATAAGGAAAGGGTACTCGAGCGTAATAAAACATTTTACATCTGTCACGTCGGGGCAATTTAGTCGAAGTCGTACGGAGGGGTTGGAAGGTGACCATGAAGGGTAGAAGGCACGTGAGTTCATATAAAAAGTTTCTAATCTTGAGCCGGAGGGCGAGGATAGTCGAGATGGAGAAGGGCAAGAAGGACACGGTGAAACGAACTCTTGTAACGTCCCCTTGGATACGTATTAACCCTTATTGCACCCTTGGTAAGCCGACCATGTCGTTTTGGGAATATGTAAACGACATTTTGAAAGCGTCAAAATCTTTGTCTGTACTGTGCTTTCTTGCTCGTTGTATCAGTATACATCCAGATACAGTTTTTCATTCCCTTCAACTGCCTCTTTGATTTGGTGTTACTTTTTCTAATTTGCAAACGGATTTAGAAAAAATTGTAAGAAATAACATAGGATACAAATGGTAAATTATTTAGGACATCAGTAAGAAATAATGTACATTTCAAGTTGTTATTTTGTATACAATATATTCTAAGTTGAAAGTAACGAAAAGTTGAAAATAGTTTGCTAATTTAGCGTGATTATTTTTTGATCGTACAATGCTGAAACAAAAGAAAGTTCCTTCGCATTTCTGCCATTAAAAACAGTTTTCTAATTTTAACGTCGCAGAATAGGATCGCGCAACGCCGCACAAAATGGCCGCGATTTGGAACGCAACCGAAGCGATAATCGAAGCGTTTAACCGGAAAATTAAAAGGAAATAAATCGGTGAAAAGTTGCCGTTCGCGAATTTAATATTTCCGTCGGCTTAGCGGAACTAAAACGCCCTAACGTGGCACTGTAACGGTGGAGCTTTCGGGAAGTATTCAATAATTTTCGCACGTCTTTTTGAAATCGTCTGAGGGAAGGAGAGGTTTTCCCTCTTTACAGATATATAGGTATCTCTACACAGCGCCACGTAAGCCCGCGCCGAGGCCGGGATTTAAACTCAAGCGTGGAAAGCTTATACAAAGCTCCAAATTTATTGGATGGAAATCCTCTCGGCGTAAGCGTGCAAGTTCCCTACAGGGGCAAAGTTGCTCCGCGAGATTAACACTTTCCTATCTTCTGCTCAATGCTCGGCCATTTCCCGGTAAACTTCAACGTCTTTCTACTTATTCATTTCACCCGCCTCCCCTGTCCGTCGCGTCGGATTTTTGTTGTCGAGTTGCTACGCGAAACGCGGCCATTTCGCTTCTTCTAACGGCGTAGAAACGTCGTCCGAGTAATCCGCCGCTTTCCACGGAGACATAAAGATCATCTCGATCCAACGAATCGTAGACCCTGCAAGAAACAAACACGAATCGGTGCTTTGTATCGAAGTCGATGGCAACGGTTCGAGAAAACGGTCTCGCCATTTCAACAAATATCAACCCCTTGTTAGGTTATTACCATAAACTCTTTCATGAGCATTCGATCTACCCATGACAAGTCGAAGAACCGAATTATTAACCTTGTCCGATCGTGAAAAGGCACATTCGGACCGCAGAGGACTAAAAATTCATCCGTTATCAAAGTCGTTGAAAGTCGGTCGGGGTGGTTTTTCTCTTTCATACCTACATGAGTTTTCCTTTCATCGAAAACTATATCGCAGGGTTCGCACGTGAAGAAAAGCGTTCCGATCGAAAGGCATAAGATCAGTGAACGTATGTAAACAAGGGCTCGAATATGGGAGAGAAAACAGCGCGGCAGTGCCGGCAGCGAATTCCCATGCGGGAGTAAGATATTGGTTTTCATCCGGCTCGTTTCAGTGCTCGTAACGTTTGATAAAAATGCGTGTTACGCGTTCCAGACCAGACCCAACTCTGACCGAAAGGGCGCCCAGGGAATCGTACTCGAAGAGATCACGAGAATTCACCCTTACCGTCTCACCCCTTCAGGTATTTGCGCATAACAGGCTGATGGCTAGCTTTGGCCCTATAAATACCTTCGCGTGACGATATCGGCTGCTCTAGCAGATTTTTCAGACAGTGGACCAAAAAAGTCCCCTTTCGACAACCTTTACGAAGTCTCATAAAATTGTCAAATCTGCAAACTTTCAACTCTCCGAATCCTCAAATGTCCACATCTTTAAACCATCAAATCATCAAACTCCTAAATCTCCAAAGTTCGAGATATCCAAGTTTCAAAGTGAAATCCAAATTTGCAAATCTCCCGTTCGATCCCCGGTAGAAAAAATTACTTCCGTAAAACAGTCGCGAGATTCAGGCCGTAATAATCTGAACGATAGACGGAAGTCGTTTAGCTATGCACGTGAACGTCGGTAGGTACTTGATGGGTAAGATGGTCGATTTCACCGCGTGGCACATCCTTATTTCGTTTGTCACGGTTTTTGATTTTTACCTGTATTATCCACGCGAGCGATTATGTCTCATTTACCAGAACCACCGGCACGCTCGTCAAAATGAGGCAGAGTGCTTTCACGCGACGCCATTGCCTCGCAACACGTGAGTTACCCATAAAGCATCAGATACCGTGAGATTAATTAAACTTAATTGCGATGCCCGACTCTTTTCCCTTTCGATCGATGCTTTCTAACGGGTCGATTTAATTTTACTAGGGATGTAAAATTATCCGTAACATGTTACGCATCGAAGGGTACGTTAATCCGATCGAGGAGGAATTAAAAGCTGTGTTTTTTCGTTAAATTAAGGTTAACTCGGCAAATAGCCGCTACGTTCCTTTTACTGGCCTACAGAAACTGTGCCGGATCTGGCCTGTGGGATTTTAATGAGCTCACTCGATCGGAACTCGAGGCGTATCCTAATGAGTCGATTTTACGAGTGGTCATTCTAGTCGACCGAAAAATGGAGCCAATTAATCGGTTGGACAACGCGATCTGCTCGATCCGCGGCATCTTTTATGGCCATATGTGTCTTCCTCGAAACCATCTGCGTTCAGAAGCCATCACATTTATAGGAACTAAAATTTAACGGAATTTTATTTGTTCTATGTGGACATATTGAAGTATCTCGAATGTTACAAGAATTAAGTAAAAGTTCTGTTATCCGAATAAATTCAACTAAACTAATGAATGTTGTGTGACCACCAGTTGTGTGAAACTACATGAAAATCGAGGAAGATGCTTTCTGTTTACCTACACAATATCGCAATTCTTTCAATATATTGTCGAAGTTCATCTGTGAATCGTCAAAGTTTGTGAACCTTCAAAAGAATTCAGTGAACGAAGAGATTGTATGCAATGGGAAATCGCACGATTCGTTGAAATATGAAATTTGTGGGTGGATATGTAAGCGGGTTTACAAGAGGCGGCAATGATAGCCGAAGCAGAGGATCACGAGCAGCGTGTTTGGTCTAAGCGGGCGGATCGAGGCGAGTAGAGGAGGTGGATGGGGATACGGCCGATAAACACCGCATTACTCCACTGGAAGAGCATTTCTCGCGCCAACGTACGGCCTACGAACGTAAGCTCGGCCACCTATCGGCTAGCTCGATCTAGATTAGGACACTTAACCGTAACAAATTTGAATCTGATTACCCCCGAACGAGATTGGGGCGGACTTTACTTGAAATTACGTCGCCTAAACAACCCGACGCCATTTCCGTTTCCTATTCTATGTCGCTACTTTGAAACGTTTTCAAAACCACGGGACCAATTACGACTAACGAAATTGCTGGTTGCTTTGAACGAAATTATTGTAAACTGGATAACAGATAATGCAATTGGATGTTTTATATTCTGTATGAAGTTTGTTAGAAATTTTAAATCATTTCGAAAGGTGTAATGCATTCGCAGATCAAATATTTCTTATATTTTTAATATACTTATTTCATGTTTCATTCCTTGTATACTTATCGATATACTTTATTTTTAATCTGAAAGTAATTGCATATTTCTGTGAACCTAGCCCACAACTTAGCCCTAACCCAACTCTTATTCAAACAGAATAAGCCATAAATTTTCAGTTACTACCTTGAGCACTCGTAAGCTTTAATTTAGCAAAATTTCTGTGTGAAGCCCAATCGAAAATGAGGAAGCAGGGTATTACCGAAGCAGAGGAGGATGAATCCTCGAACAGACCGATCAGTTAAACGGATCGAAGCGATCGTGCGCTACAAATCCACGTAGCCACCATATGCATATTTTCACAATATCGCACGGTCCCGTGTTGCCTCAGGATAGGTACACGTAGATCCCTCATAAGGGAGATATCGTTTCCGAATCAAATGACCCATTCGGTTTTAGTGGTGCCATTTAACCGACATCTATGCGCCTCTGGCCATCCGACACGGGAGCTAACGTTACACGACAAACATAGAAAGTCTCGCCATCGGGCTTTTGGCCATCCCTCGATAATACCACTCGTCCACCGTGCACCAAATGCCATATCTCTCGGTTCAGAACAATTAACAGTTCTCTCGTTGATCATCACCGCATCGTTTGTTTCAGATTTTATCGCTTAAGCATTGTTTGTTCGTTAATTTCAAGCCTCTTTTGTTCGTATCCTGTTCTATTATGGCCGGTTTCGTAGCTAGTATATAGCCGTTGCGCGTAAATTTAACGTTCACATTCACGGATGGTTTCGACTGATCTTTCTGATGTTGAATTTGTAGTTGATCCTGAAAGAACGTTCACCTACAAGGTTGTGGTTCGAGAAAGCTATTCGAATTTAGTTTTATATTGATAGTTACATGTATTCGAACATCTGGACATATAGGATGTATACGTATATCTAGTTGCACAAGATGAAAATTGTGATACAAGCAAAAATGGTGATATTACATTTAAAAATAAGTCCCTGTATAAAAATTCTAATATACATGTCGATATAATAGGTATACGTACAGTCATATTAGAACGTATACCAGTGGTACCAGTATACAAATATGTGATCCTTTCACGCCATAACCGATCAGGTGTACATTCCCATGCAGCCCCACATAATCCAACCATCACGTTTCATGCGTAACCTGCAGGGAACCATATTAATATACGAGCGCCATATTAATGTCCTAAGAAATATCATAAAGATCGTTGGTATTAGAAGATACCCTCGAAGTTCTCGATACCCTTCGCACTTAAGTTAGCATTCGCTGTTTCGAAAATAAGAGGAGTCGGAGCGACGGCTGCGTAACAGCATCTGGGACCACATTCAGCGTTTACGGATGAGACGGTTAAGGGTAAATCGGCGGGGGTGGAACACGTGTTCGATGCTCAGGGTGGACTCGAGGAATCGTGGGGTGGTGGGTGGTAGAAAAATAAGAGCGGAAGGTTAGGAGCAGGGTGATGTCGGATGTAGTAGGTAAGACGTCGTTACGCGCATCCGGCGCTCCGTACGGTTTTCGAATCTGAACTCGGCCCGATGGCGAATGTTTTCGCCTCTGTTTATAAGAGCGGCTGTCAGGACACCTTATAAAAGACGGTAAATCATCCGGCGCGAGAGGAGATATTAATACGGCCATGGTACGATGCCGGTTGCATTTTCATTCGTTGTACGCGGCCTTTCCAATCTGGCAAACTACCAAATTGGAAAGCGGAGGAGTTGCGAAGTTTTCCTCTTCCCGTTGCAACCCGCTCGCGGGTACACTTGGCCCGACTTCGAAGCCAGCGAGGAATATGTATTGCAGCAAAGTAATCCAATCCTGGTGAACGTTACCGTGGGCTTCCATTGATTCATCGAACAATCTGCGAGAGAGCGTTTAGAGCACTCTCTGCGCGAGTACAAACGGAGAGATTAGATGATTTTGGGTTCTACGGAATTTGCTGGGAAGTGACCTCGAAGGAACTTCCAGATCGTTTTTCATTGAATATGGAGTCGTTGAGCGGTGTTTTTATTAAGTAACTTTTTCTCCAATGTTAAATAGTTTGATTAAAAGTAGTACCTTAACTACTAATATATCGAAACTCAATTGTCGAGACAAATGGAAAATCTTCACCAATTCTCGATATAAGCTATAGCGTGATGAAACAAAATTTTCAATTTAATAGACACAGAATGATCGAATTTTTAGGTCACTCTTCCCTGACCCAGCTTTGACCAAAACTAATTAGGTCGAAGATCATGAATTTCACTGAGGGAATATTACCTCGTGAGAAATTTCTAGGGCAATTCGTGTTCAAGTATTATTGAACGTACAGTAAAAGAAGAAATAAAAAATGTGAAAAAATTTGCGATGGACAGTACAACTAATTTGCAAGTAACCAATATCCCTACCAAGTTGATTGTCTGAAAGAATTTCTCATTGCAAATTTTGCGTGCGTGCTTATACGGGTCCCGTGAAACCTCATTAAACCCCATCTCCGGTCTGGTGGTTCACGTCGTAAGTTAATTAAGCCGTAGCCATCTCGTGGTTACAGGTGCAACGGGTAACTTATACGGATTTACGGGTTCGTTTCACGCGGATACCCTGATTGGCCGTCGTCGGAGTACACGGTCTCGCGAAGGGCTTTGTTTGGCCGCGTACGGGTTAGCAACGAGCTGGCATCGAGACGGAAAGTGGCAACGGACGCGATAGGCCGACGTTTGTTATTTGCAATTCCACCCGTGGGAGAAGGCTCGGAAGGGTAGGAAGGTTTAGCACGGCTATTATACAGATCACGTGGCGATTGGATTCCTTGTTGAACGTTGCTAACCCTACCTACTTTCCCAGTGGCCTGTCGGTTTGCTGGCTGGCTTGGCTGGCTCGCCGTGGATCACCGGCTCTTTGGATGGCTGGCTTCCTCTTCGGCTGACTGGCTAGGCCGGGAGGGCTGTAGTACCCTCACAAATCCACCTCCAACTCCTACGGCTTTCATTATAAATCCACCCCCACCGTTTCGTTGCGATGCCGCCTATATACCGGAGAGCCCCTTGAACCCCTAACTTTCAACCCGTATTTTCCACGATCCATTATATCATTCGGTTCCCTTCACCCTCGGCTACCCCTACGGAGATTCTGGCCGAACGCCGCCTGCCTCCAGAAGGGCAAAGAAAACATCGTGAATGTATTTTTCAATTTGGATCACCGCCAACCCTCCCAAACCTATGTGCGAATCGGGAAACCCTTTCTACGGTGTTACGTATGATTCTTTCGGTTGTATCCGTTGTCTCTTGGAATATTTTCCGGACAAAGTAATTGAAAATCGAAAATCGTTACTATGCATTGTCTAGCAAGAACCGATACACAAGATTCGCCTCAAGATAAAATTACTGCTCACAATTAGTTAATGGCTACAATTACTTGTCCTGTAATTTTAACGGAGTCTAAGAGGTTATGCGTAAACACGATTGCGAGACAACGTCCATGTGGACCAGCAAAAGGATCGGCCGCATTATAACGCGAAGCGTTGATGAGAGGGAGGTACATTCGTGACCGAGACTAGGATGTGCTACAGCAGTCCCTCAGTGGCTCGTTAGAGCATTTGCATTTCATTTCGTTCCTCCCGGTAGCCCCCATCCCTTCGAGCCTCCGCGGCAGCCCCTCTTTTCCCGTATAAATATTAATGCAACATCCTCCTCTCTCGGGGGGTTTTTGTTCCTCTTCTGTCCCGGAGAACGGCGCCCTCCTTCCGACCGAGTACTTTGAATGCTGATGCGATACGGAACCTCCACGTCCTTTCTTCTCTCTTCTCGTACGCTCCGCTGCAACGTAGGCTTCCTTTGTATAAGCACTCGTAAAGAAAGTAGATTTTTCGATTTCCAAAATTTTATCTTCCACTTTTTCTAAATGTTCCAATTTTCTAATCTTTTTTCCAATTTCAAATTTTTAAATTCTTCGATTCTTGAGTTTTCAAAATTCTCGAAGTTATTCTTTAAATTTTTATCTGTGTTATCGAAGTCCTCGAATCTGAAATAGCAGAACCATTGTGACTTCTATCAATTTCTTTAATAACTCGTCAAATAATTTTAAACAATATCCACATCTACAATCAGAAATTATTTACCATCGAGCATGAAAGGATTATTTTATATTGATATATGAACGAATAAATAAATAGTTGCAGAGAAATTCGAAAGTCTAGTATTATAACGACGCAATTAAATTATGCAAGAAGCGTGTTCCGTTAAATCCAAGAGGGCGTTATTAGAATGCGAGGACAGCTTCCGTATTTTCGCGTTCGGATTTCCGCGTCTCGCGAATTTCGTTGAAGTACGTGCCGAGCGGGAAGCGACGAGCAAAAGAAACAGAGAAAGAGAAAGCATGGAGAAGAACGAGGGAGCGAGGGAGAGAAGACGGTTTGTGGAAGTACGGAGACAGTAAATATATACGGAATAGCCGGGGGTTAGGTATATGCAGGGCGGTAACGTGGTAAGATGGGCCTCTGCATTGCCGGCATGATTGCCTCTATGGCACATCGAGGCAATCCCCGTGGCTACGTGCCCGACATACATCCGCTTCCATCTTACTTTCTTTTTCTTCCCGTTTCTTTTCTCTCCTCTTCTCCTTTCTACAGCGACTTCCAAAAGTATTCCTGCAGTCTACACTAGTAACTTAACATTCGTGATTTTGGCTGCAGAGAAAATTGCAAATTTTTATGATGACGCATATCATTTTTTTATGATGCATATCTTTACTGTGGTACAGTCGGTATACGGTCAAAATATATTAGGTTATCGCGTATCAGTATTCTACGGTTTCGAATCATAAGAAATCTAACTCGTTTCGATGATACAGTTTTTTATGGAAGTGTAAAATTCTAACCTAACTTAATTTGCACAAGAGTTCACCGCAACGATTCTGACGAATCTGCCCGCGAATTTCCAGAACGTAACGCAGCCACGAAATCTCCTCGGAACAGTATTTTCGGGATTATCCCCGGCGAAGGGTAAGAGGACACGAATAATTTTGCGCGAAAGCGTGCTTCGATCAAAATTAATCCAAGACAAGGGGGAGAAGAAGGCAGGGCCAGAGTGAATCCTCTTAATTGAATTCTCGCGTTGAAACGAAGGACGGGCAAGGCTGATTCATTTATCGTCGAAGGAATAAAAGCATCGCGGCTCGAATCGAAGCAACAGAAGAGATTCAGAAGTTGGTATCATTGGCGGATTCGAAGGGCCTCGGGCATTAGTAAGTCGCGAGGGGTGATTTCGGGCAAGTTGTACGGTAAAAGCTGGCGGCACGAGGCGGCGGTAGCTCAGCAACGTTTCATTAGCGGAAGATGCTCCCCGCGGGGGCGCGAGCCAACACGGACAGAGACAACGGCGAGTCGAAGAGAGAGAAGGAGAGAGAGAAACGCGTTATCCAGCTCGAAGAAGAAGGTGGAACAGGGTGGTTGGAGGCGGGTAAGCGAGATTAGAATCCCGTGCATGGTTGGAGGCGCATATATCGGTCAATAACTCACGTCCAACGACGTGTATCTTCCTCTCGGATAGCTTTTCCTTATTCGCTCGATCTCGAAAATGTGATAAAGTTGTTCACGGGACGATTTAATGGCTGTTTCGTAGCTGGCCACCAAACGTTATTAATTATTCTAGGCTTCGATGGTTGTTTCGGACGAAGCGCGCGGACTCTCGATGTTTATCGCCGGTGAATTTTCTCGAGGCACTCTTAACGATCGGGAACAGGGTCCTATTCGATGACCGAAGTTGCTTCGTATTTAATCGAGACGCTCGTGACTTTGACCATAACCATCGATCGTTTTAAGCGCGCAGTAATTAAGGCGAGTAATTTGTGTGACGCTCGCTAATGCTAAAACATGCGAATTTTAATCCTCCGAGTAGTTGTAGGCTGACTATTAGTTGCGAAAAACGTATGTTTGTTACCATTAATCGAGATACCGAGTTTAGTATCGTTAGAACGTTTTATCGAGGACATGAAAGTAAATAGAGTATTCACACCTATAATCACCGACCGGGATACTAAATTCGCATCAATAGAATATGGTAACACAGTTATCTTCATCGTACACGCATGCATTAGTTAACATTAAGATCCGCTTTTGATAAAATTAAGGTAAATGATCCCATTATGGAATATCGTCATCATTAAATGGTAGACAATAATAATCGTTCAATAATTATTCAACTTACTAAGTTTTCAAGTGAGTTTTTGTGTGCAACATTGGCTATTTCTTAGGAAGTTATTAATAAATATTAAATTTAACCTGAT